CACACACAGAGTGGAGATCCCAGGAAGGCCAAGTAAGTTCCGAATGACGAGTTTTATTCGAATTTATTTCTATCATAAATGTGAGGTATCGTTAAGAAGTCGAAGAAACCGTTAGATCTATTTAATTTTTCCAACTGTTGGGCCCTTTGAATTTTTTTTCGTGTTAATATCCATTAAAAAACACATTCCTGTGTGGTTTTTCATTGAAAACGTTGATCATAGGCATTCGAAACGTATATTTGAAGTTTTCAAAGGCAGTACAGCTTTGGAAGTCACCAAACTTTGGCGCCCCTTTCTCACAATTTTAACCACGACCCTATCTTTTGCAAATAAATCTACTTCTATTCATGATAGATGGGTATTAAAAAAAATCAAAAGCAAGACAAATAAAGAAGCTCTAAGGTGATACCAATAGCTCCATAATAAGCCATTAAAAAACGACGAGCGCCTGATCTCACCGTCTCGCGATACAAATACCCTTGCTCTCACCTGGTAGTTTCCTGTGATTGGAATGTCCATCTTGGCGTAGTTAAATATGGCGAATGTGTTGACGGAGTCGGCGACGATCACAGCTTGAAATGTCGCTGACTGGGGAAGAGGAAACAATAATTGGTTATTGTGTTGGTCAGTTTGTTTGTTTGCTTGTTTGTTTGCAAATACGAGTGTGAGTATGTAACGGGGCAGAATTCCCGTTTTGTGCAAGCGGTCAAAAAAGGTCCTATAATGGCGATTTTTGTCTTTCTTGGTCTTTTTTTCTCAGCTTTTCGAATAGCATCAGTGTGCTATGGAAAATGTGACGTAAACTTTAACGTATGTTTTGCCAAATCATTAATTTTTGGAAACTTTAGTTTATATTTTTCCCCTTTAGCTTCATATTTGCACAAAATGTTCTTCAAACTATGTAAATAAAGAAAATGAACTAATTCAAATTTGAAAATGTCCGTATTGTGGCTCCTGAAGAGCTGTGGCGTAGATAGATAGATAGATAGATAGATAGATAGATAGATAGATAGATAGATAGATAGATAGATAGATAGATAGATAGATAGATAGAT